TCAACAATTAAAATTTGAAACTTTCATTTTAATTACATGTCATCATGCATTAACGCCATCAGCACTTCTTATTTCTAGCAAATTTTTGCCTGACCTTCAAAAATTTTAATTTAATCATTTTCTCGTAATTTTTTTTTTTTTTGTATGCATATTATAAAAAATTATTGCTGTAGATAGCAATATACTGATGCTAAAATGCATTTAATTACTAATCGATGATTGTATAAAAATTTTGAACCTTTTAAATGATAGAAAAAATCAATGTTCGCGAATTAAATCGATTATTTAATTTGAAATGGAAGAAATCTGTTGCCTAATTCGTACATTTATGTTCCTCTTATCTTCTGTTTTCAAAATTAATAGTTATAACAATATTTTAGTTAACTCTGATTATTTAATATAATTATTCACGTATTACATAAGTTGAATATATTTTTTTCACTTAAAAATCACTGTATTTATTTCTTGTCATTTTAAATTCTAAATAATAATCATAATTTTAAATAATAAAATTTTAGACCCTAAATAAATTAAATTTTAATTCTGAATAATCATTTAATGTTTATCGTTCGATTTTATCGAGCGCAAAAATGATGCATTTTATTTAGTTTCGTTAAAATTTTTCCTTTATTTTTGAAACTAGCCAAATGTTTGTTACGTGATTAAAATAAGTGCGGAATAATCCTCTTATTTGAATTTTTAACTTTCCAAAAAATTTTTAATTTTAAAATATTGTAGATGAAATGAAACATTCTATTATTTATAAACCTAATTACAGTGATGTGTGCTAAATTTGAAACGAAGTTAATCATAATGTTACACATGTTTTTTAACGATCAAATTTGTGACTTAAATCAAATTCAATGAATTATAATGAAATCCAAAAAATATTTTATTAAATTTCATGAAATACCACTGAAATGGAATTTTACGAGTTTGCGCTTTTTTTTTCCAAAAAACGCTTTGAAAAATTCATTAAATTTTGAAAAAAAAACATAAAATCATTCAGTTTGTCAAATAAATTAGTTTATTTGGATAAAATTCATTTCTTGAATGAACTAAATTTTCATTATTACTATTATTTGTCATCATTTTATCATTATCAAACAAAACCTGAATATAAATTATTAACAGCGGTATCAATAACAACAATTAAATGAAGACTATTTTAACAAAGGATCGTTCGGCTGCGAAAGCGGTCGAATGAAATTTTTATTATCACCGATCCATTGTAACCGATATGATCAACAAAATGGAAGAAACCACAAATTCAATCCACCAAAAAGGAAAATAAATTTTAGTCGAATGATTGAATTCAATATATTTTCTTAAAAAATCATTTTAAATTAAAAGAATTTTTTTTTTTTAAATTTAGAGTTAACGCTAAATTAGGGAAAATTGAACGGGAATGCAAACTGATGAAAATAATAACAGACATTATGATTTCGTTTTCGAAATATTTTTATTTTTCTAACAAATAAGTAATTGGAAGTATTTTTGCTTATCGGAAAAATTCATCAAACAAAAAGGAAAAAATTGAAATTTCTGAGGAGAAAAAATCAAATTCTTGAAGAAAAAAAAACATTTTATTTAAAAAGGAAAATGAATTACTATTAATATGAATTGAAAAGCATTTCAATCACTTGATAATCCTATTCATTTTTATTTCAAATTACATGCAATTTTAGGGTAGGATAAAAAGAAGAATGTTTTAAAAAAGAAGGAAAAGTTATGGTGAACAAGTTTTATTCAACCATTACAATCTTCTGATAGCGTTTTAAATCCAAGTTGAATACTATGAATTAAAATTTACCTGGTAATTAATCATCATTAACTGATCAAAAAATCTTGTCATTTCGTTAAATGACCAAAAGTTTAGAAGAAAAAGAATTATTTTGGAAATTTAATCATTTACGACAATTATTTTAATTCTCATAATTTCACATTCAAGTAGCCATTTTGCTTATAATGATATTTCGATATTCATGAGTTACAAGATTAAATGAAAAAAAAAGATCAAGATTAAGTAATAATCTTAAGTTGTCATTCAATGATATCTCAATAAAACACTATAAAAAATTGAGCAAAAATATTTGTAAAACATTTTAAAATTTCAAAAGTTTATTCATAAATTCAAAATCAAATTTTTGCATACATTTGAATTATTTGACATCCATAAATTTCCTCATTTTCTTTTATTCCTCCGAAATCAAATTTATACTTTAATCTTCAATAATCTCATTCACATTTAATTTTTTTTCTTTTTGTTTGTATACTCCACAATTATTATCAAAAAAAAAAAGACGCATTTGATAGAACGCCATTTCCTAATTCAAATCAATCGATAGCAATCAATGTGATCGATCTTGTGAGAAACGAAAATCGAACAATATGAATGTATTGCTCTTTGGTTTTTTTACGACACAGTTAGATTTTATTGAGTGAAAGAGAGAAAAGGTACAGAGAGGGAGAGAGAGAGATACAGAGAGAAAAAAGAGTTAAAACGATTTAACATAAATACGATTCAGTGAGCCATTCACAAGGATTATTATCTGAAAATTTAGTGGAATACATTTATCCGGATGAATGGAAACCGGATTTAGGTTTTCTGAGAGAAAGCCTTTGAACTATTTTTGCCTTACTTGTTTGTTATAAAATGTTGGCAATTCAAATATACGATTTAGTATGATTTGATAGAAAGAATGAAAATTCAATACCGAAATTCTCAATCTGTCTTTTACATGATTTGTTGATTTTCATTGTTCTGATTTAGAAAAATTTTCATTGTCCTGATTTGAAAAGGACACATCACAAATTTTGAGATCAACCATCAAAATGTCATAAATGAGCGATTAATTTGTTAAAAAACGAAACAAAAAAATAAAATGCAAAATGAAGGCAATTATTTCAATTTAATTGAGATGACAATAATTGTATTCTCTCTGAAAATACGCTAACAATTTCAATATAATCTTCAAAAATTTTTTTTAACCTTTTTATTTTTCCACTTTTTTCTTGCAAAAAATGACAAAAAAAACGATTATAATTTTATTCATCAAATTTTGACACTTTTTCACAAATTGAAAACTTTTTGCTATATAATAATAATTAAATCTTTTTAAACAAATTAATAAAAGCACATCTCGTAAAGAGTTAAGCAATTTATAACGATGTATCTACAAATAAAAAAATGCACTCATTTTTTAGAAGTTACTAATTTATTTAATAATTTAAAATTTGAGACGAAAATAAAAGCTTATTTAAATTATATTTTGAAAAGAGAAATATTAGTTAACATTTTACGAAAGAGAGAGTAGGAGTTGCTAATTTGTTACTAATAAAATAATAAAAAACAATATCACACACTGAGTTATCAGTACAAAATGAAATTGGCTGGGTAATTTATCAATTCCTGAAGTATTATTGTTTTCCTCGCTATAATACAATAATTATAACACATAACAAAGAAAACAAACCCAAAACCATAATAAAAATGAAGTGATAATACAAACAAGTGATTATCTTAAAGAAAGTTATAACGAAAAAAAAGATCAGGTGAAAAATACATTGAGATGTTTTAAAATTAATTCACAAAAAATGCTCTGCAATAACTTTTTACTATAAATAAACTTACAGTATTGTAAATTACAGTGATAAATTAATAAAAATCATTGTGAAATCTCATTGGTTTTCGATAAATTTTTACATTTCCTTACTTATAGCATACTGTAAATTATGATGATAAATTGACAAAATCACCACTATAAAATGATAAGTTGATTTAAAATTTTACAACTACGTCACATTGAATGATTATAAATTATAAAGGTTAAAATTATTACATTATTTACGAGTGAGTAGGGTGCCAATTTTCATTCCAAAGATTAATTTTTTGATAAATTTTAAATTTTATATGGAATTTAAAAAAATTTATCTAAGTTTAAAATTGTTTGCTTTAATTAAAACATATATTTGAATCCTAGTTCCAATAATCAGAAGAGCAACATACCTATGAATGCACTGGAAAAAAAAGTTCAGAATTAGCAATTTCTTAATTTAATACATGCAAATTACTTTAACACATTGGAATTTGCAAACTGGCGAAAATTTCAAAATTGAAAGGAAAAATCGGATGATATACTAGGATAGTAGTGAATCTGCAAGCAATTATCTCTCGTAAACAATCTCTCCGCAGAATTTCGATATCGATATAAACATATCAGTAATTGTATTAGAGCCTAAAATTTTGAAACATCAATAAATCGTGAATTTTTCAGGCGATTCACTAACCAAATTATAATTGATGCTAATAACAATCTTATTTTTCATCCAAATTAAAGAAGACAAAATAATAAGATTTAAATACAAATTGAAAAAAAAAAACTTCTGACAAACTGAAAATTATTGAAATTTGAATAGAAAAAAAAGTTACCAGAAGAAGGAGAAAAATCAGTGCAACAATACCATAAAACAAAGGATGCATTAAATAATCCTGCAAATTTTCTATTGATAATTAATTATTGCATTCAGGAAAAATAATTGCATTTATTCAAGTGAAATATTTCATTAACCTGATAACGCTTATCGATAAGGCTTTGATTTGTCATTGTACAATTACTACCGCTTGCTTTCTGTACAGCGCATAATTGATCATTAAATAAAATGATCGTTCCGGATGGATTCGATCGAACTGGCAACTTTATCACATTACACGTTATCATTAATGATGATTCATAAAGGTTTCTAAAAAAAAATCTTTTCGATAAATTTTTTTCTTTTAAAAATTTCAATATTAATTTCATCAAATATTTCCTAGAAAATTAACACAATATATTGTATTTTAAGTCTAATAAAAATTTTGCGTAATGTTCTTTTTTTAAATCGTCAATTCAATAGAGCTTATATGATCTCTATAAAAAATTAATTCAAGATGTGATAGTTTTTTAAATTCTAATACAGCTCAATTTAAAAAGAAATGAATTTCGAATTAATTACAAATTTTACGTAATTAAGTGTTTTGTATTTCCATCATCCAATGCGTGAATTACGGCAATACCACGTGAAACGCTTAAATGGTGCAAGTGAACATCACCGAGCATTTGTACTGCTATTCCCGGCTTACCATCAAGCAATGTTTGCATAATATCCTCACAGGGTATCGAATAGATGACAATCTTGTTATCAAACCGCTTTTTCACATAATAAAACTGCAAAAAATGTAAGTATAATTTGTGAAAAATTGAAATTAAAAGAAAAAAAAATTACAAGTATTAATCATTAAACAATGAATAGCGGTAAAAATCTAACCTTTAACCTCAGTAGTTCATCTCTAATTGAATTTCGAAAGTTTGAATAATTAGAGTGGAAATTGAAAGATGAACATTTAAATTATATAATGAAAAATAAAATTTGCTTCTATTAAATCTAATTTTAAATTACGATTTCCACTATACAATGCAAGTTTATCAATGCATTTTTAAAAATGAAACATATGAAAAATTATATGATGAAAAGAAAAATTTTTTTTTTCATCATAAAGAGGCGCAAATAACGTAAAAAATAAAAATGCTAAAACAAACTTTACGATGAAATGAATCCTCCGTCCATAATATCCTATCATTATTACTCGGATGAATATTTCGAAATGTGTTCAATTCGAAAAAATTCAATCTATCATTCGATAGAAATTGCACATAAAAATTGATGCATTCTAAAGTGAAATATCCTCCAAACAAAGTTACATTTCGCAGTACATAAAGCATTCTTTGATTGCTATCAAAAAATGTTGCAATCTGCAACAATTCAAAATTTATTTTATTTTTTTCTTCATCAATTTATATTTCAATTCATTTCATATCCAATTAAATATTTGATCAATTTAATCAATTTCCTGCATAATATAAACGACGAATTTTCTCATTGCGACATTCCCGTCCATATGCTCTCTCTGTTATAATGGGCGACGAAATATTTCATTACTGTTAATTTCAGGGTAAACTTTAAAAGGTAAAGTATATTCATCAAAAGCTAATCTATATTTCATTTAGCAGATGAATTATAATAAGCAGTAAAACTGGTGTTGTGACCATTTTGAAGTTCAAGTTAGCTTTAAATGTTCAAGCAGTTTTAGCAGGAGGTTAGAGTTGATAAGGAAGTGAATAATAAGAGATAATCATACTAACTACTTGTTTCTGAAGTAGATTGTTACCAATATAATAATATGAACTTTCCAAATTCACATGTGTATATGTGAAAGTATGCTTTTGTTTGGGCAATGGAATTCGCAACTGTTGCGCAATTAAATTGCCTGAAAAAGTTGACTTCACTTTTTTTCTTTCAAATAAAAAACAAATATTTTTAGATTTATAAATTTCAAAAAATTTTAATATGCTCTCTTAAGCACAAATTTTTAATGAAATATTATTGATAGATTTTCGAAAACGCTTGAATTGCTAATCTCACATGTTATTATTATTAATAATAACTTATTGAAAATTAAGCAAGTTTTTTTTTTGTATCAGAATAATAAAGATAAGTTAAATGTATCTTGATGAATATGAGAATAAACAAAATCAAAATATATAAGTAAGTACATTGCTCAGTACGCACCGAATATTCTTTTAGCTCCTAAAATTAGAATTTTTGGCACTTCATTGTCACGTGAAATGAGATGTAATGTTAAATGTGAGCAATTGAACTGATCTGATAAGCTACTGAAAAATAGTCTTTGAAAAAGAAAAAAAAAGATCAAATGTAAATAAAAATATTCATTTGGGAATGAGAAATTTTAGCAAATAAATTCATTCTGATATATTGGTAGGAACGATTCACTTCTTGATATCGTATCATTTTTCAGTCTCGTAAATGATAAAATACATAAATAGAGTAAGATAATAGAAACAGGCCTTAATTCCAGCCTTTATATCAATTGTTCATTCTTTTTTCTTTTTCCGTTTTCTGATGAAAATATGATAAGGTGTTATTGAAAGAAATGAAATCTTTCACACAATGTAATTTGAAAATTTAATAACATTTTTAAAAATTTTCACCTCATACGGATAATACTACGATATGGACATGTATTCAGTGGTGAAACTTCTTCCGTTAGCAATTGACAATGTGATAAGCTAATGAAAAAGAATTGCTTATTACCAAATAATTTAACAAATGCTAATTTGTTATTCATTTTTGATGAGCAAACAAAACAGGCAGATAAAGCGGCAAAGATTAGTAGTGCGAATGATTCATTCATTCTTTTATCCTTTCAAATCGTATTCCGATTTCTCTAAAAATGATAAACACATATATTCAAAAATTGATTAAAATTAAATCGATTACCGAATAACTAGCAAACAATATCCGATAAACGATAAAGTTAACTGATAACAAAACGATTAATTGAACAATAATTATTGATAATTGATAAAAACAAGTTTGTTCTTGAATTTTCGATAACGTATGCTTCATTACTGATTTGATGATAATGTTTTTAATTTTGCTTTATGAACGTTTTTCTTGTCTACAAATTAAAAAAAAAAGAAAAAAAGTGTTTCTTTTAGATTTTCACACCTACAAAAATATCATATTTTCAAAATTTCAAAAAGTGCTCACTGATAACACAATCAAGACAATTGACATTTATGCTTTAGAATTCTTGAAATCATTGATTTTTACTTAAATAGGATATAAAATTATCTAGATGTTTTCCTCAGCTTCTATAAGTTACTTATCAAAATTAAGCGAAATATCAATTACAAAGGTCAAAAATCTCTTTATGAACATTTATCAGTAACTTGATGAATCGATAAAAATGATTGCTAAGTTTATTAAAAAACTAAATTATCATAAATTAATCGTACGAAATGCATGAAGACATTGTCCTAATTATTTATCCTTCATTTTATCTACTTAATCTCCTTCTCGAACTTGAACTAATCAATCCATTGATCTCATCATTATCTAAGCACAATCATTACCTAATCTTTTCTTTTCCCCAAGTTTGATCCACTCTGGAACACATAATTTCCCTTCTGAGATGTTCCATTTACGGGAATCTATCGTTTCGGTAATTATGGAAAATGATGAGGTACAATGAATGGAAAAGTAAATGTTTAAAAATAATTCAGATTTATTACTCGAGATAAATTAATTTATTACAATTACTACAAAATTTAAACTTAATTTTTTAGCTATTAGAAGCACGGTTATTTATATATTTTCTACTCACCGTATTTTATATTATCTTGTATTGATAATTCATTAATTAAGTTTTGTGACAGTTAAATAAATAATTAATTAACTTATAAATCCTCCTTTAATTTCTTTTTATGCAATTATGCAATCCAATCAAGTTTTAATTATCCAACTCTTAATTACTGCAAAAATTCAGGTTTTTAAAAGAGACCATTCATTGAGCTATTCATTGGTGAATCTTTGAATATTATTCAAGCTCAATTGCTACAAATAATATTAAAGCACTGTTTCTGAATTTAATCAATAACGCATGCTTCATCACTGAGAATCTCTTAAATTAGATGACAATGCTTTTAATTTTGCTTTATAAGCATCTTCTCAATTAAAAAAAAAGTTTAGCTGTCCATATAATATTATTATTATTTCTTTTAAATTTTCATACCTACAAAATATTCATATCACTTAATTTGAACAAATCCATATTATTATTATTACTGGCATATTCTTAAGAATAATCCATAAGTGAAAAATATTGCTGTGTTAA